GTGTGTGTGTGTGTGTGTGTGTGTGTGTGTGTGTGTGTGTGTGTGTGAGAGAGAGGGAGAGAGAGAGGGACATCAGTGACTGGCATGAACAATTCTCCACCATTTCACATGATCCCTAGAGGGTGTCAAGGCCATGACCAGGAAGACCTCAGGATTAAATACAGGACCATTGTTTGGCCATTAAGAAGGAAGGTACAGGGTGTGTACAGTAAATGGAAAGAATAACAGCCGGGGGGGGGAGAAGAGAGGAGCGTTTGCACTCATCCGTCACACTCCTGTGCTCTCATGCGTACCTTCCTTGGCAGCCTGCCAGAATTCAAACGCCACTCTGAAAGCCTGGGCCACTGTTAGGGTGACCGCCTGGGCCTGTTGGAGGGAAGCAGAAGCGAGAGGCAGTGAGACAGCGGGAGGGTGTGAAAGAATGAGTAATACTCACACGCATCTCATACACACGAGGGGAAACTCGCGGACGACGAGGAACTGTGACCAGGATTTTAAATTTTTTTTTTTTAAAAAACAGGAAGTGACCGCCGACAGAAGTGGCTCCTTTCACAGACACTTGAGCAGGAGGAAGAGTAGCCCGTGGGCTCCATGACGAAGTTGTTTATGTAACCGGGAGGATACGTGGCCTTTTGGCCAGAACTAAATTAGTGAGGGGAAGGAAAAGGAGGGTGCGGCTGCAAACCTCCAAGGGATGGAGAGAATGCCAGAGAGGGACGAGAGAGCCTCCCCGCCCTTCATGTTCTCACTCCTCAACTTTCTCCTTAACTTAGTACTTTTGCATTTGCATACATACAAGTAAAAATGGAGGTGCAGTTGTTCTGAGGTCTCCTTGCAACTTCCTGCATGAAGTGCTTTCCACAGATTGCCAGCAGCAGAAGCTGAATGGATTACCTGAATGCAGAATCCTGCAGCGTAAAGAATCGGTTGCTCTACATTTGTAGCTACAGCCTGCAGCTTTATTCCACTATACATGTATGTACATGTAACCACTTCAAAATGAATAGTCCAAGATTTTGGCCAATTTGCTTATTTTCTTTCTTGCCAAGAATCAGTTGAACATATCACTCTATGTCTGTATGCTAAATATGGAGCCACGGTGAGCAGCTGAATAGCTCAGTGATGCAATAAGACTAGAAGCAGAAGGCAAGAGGTAGCGTGGCTATTTCCTTAGATGAGAAAAACCACCGACCAGAACCTCTAAAGCTCACCAATAGACATGTTGAATCTTGTTTCTTTATTCTGTACAAAAAAAATGAAACAAGTTGTGGTCTTATGAAGGGGATATATGCAGGAATATTTCTTGGCCAGGCTGGTAACTGTCTGAATAATCAATGATGATTTAGTTGGCTTCGGACAGAGCTAGGCAACCTCTTTCCCATTACATCTTATATTTAGAATCAACGAGTATCGAACTCTTACAGAATGGGCGCATGTGAACTTCAAGTTATTCGAACAGTTTTGCACCACGTACTTGCACAGACTCCTTTACGTACCATTTTCCTCTTGGTGCAGAGGAAGGCGTGACACTCCAGAGTCTCATTGTGCTGGCTCTGGACGATGTAGGCAAACACTTTGTCGTGCATCTTGTCCGCCGTGCAGTATGATATTCTGAGAAAGAAAAGAAAAGAAAAGAAAGAAAAAACACAGATGCGGAAGCTTTAAAACTCCAAGACTTAATAGAATCATCACAGATCGAGTGGGGCCATCGTGCAACTTAATCTGCTCTAAGCCCTTGAACTATATCAGCAATCTGATTAAACTGTCCAATCTAGCATTTCTCTAAACTGTGATATAAAAAAAAAAAAAAAAAAAGAAAAAAGAAAAATTCCTGCCATTCTTGAAGCCAGCTGCACTCACAATCTCACAGCTCTGCACATGATCAAATATCAAATACACACCCCAGCTGTGTGCAGGTACAGAGCTGAACGGCATCATGCATGTGAACTGAACACGTGTGCACACATCTGTGCCGTTTGGCCAATGGGATGGCGTTCCTTCCTGCTTCCTGTCATCACACTCCCACTGCGTCCGCCTGCTTAACCACCATGGCGCACAGTTCTAAAGGACATATTTTGGATTGGGCCCGGTCCCTGTAAGGTACATGAAAAGACTCTTACAGACGGAAGTGCTCCTGTCTTGTTGTGGTGTGGGAGGTCATCTACTGCACTGAGCTCTGCCTGAGGAAGGAATCAGTCTCGCTCGTCCGTCTCAGCTGCCGAGCAGAGATTGGAATTAGGCCGTAATGCTCCACAAATACGATTTTCTCCACTATCTGATCATCATGTTATTACCCCAATACCAAAGTGACGGGCTCACTGACAATTTTGGGCAGCCAGACACAAAACGATGGAGGAAGGCAATAATGAATGTCTGCCATCCTTTCCACTCCGAGCATCATCGGCGCTGTGCTCAGACTTGTCTGTGGGAGAGCAACACACTCGGTTAACTCGTGACTGAGGGATACGAGGTGTGGATATAATAAATGAATGAATAAAAGAGGGGGAGGAAAAGTTTGGAGAGGTTCAAGAACTGCAGCTGCAGTCTGCACAACACGAGATTTACGGGCAAATGTTTTGGGAGGTAGAAATAGGGTGTCTAGGCAAATCCATTTCTTTTATTGGCCGTCCATCTTCTCTGCAGATGTCCAGGGAGGAGAGCTGGAGAGACAACCAGCTGCTTTATGTCTCCACACCATCCCGAGGTCACAGCTGGACCCACCTCGCGGAGTCGGGCTTTTAATTGCTGTAGTATTTACCTTCCACTCTTCCACTGAGAGAATCCATTTATGCAGTTCAGTGAAATGTGCGATGAGGGGAAAGATACAGGTGCATAGCTGTGACAAACAGCTCTTGGAGGCCATTAAAGTACTTTCTGTATTTTTTTTCCTCAGAGCCAAAACTCAGTCAAATCTGTACACACGGACAGGATACACATATTTTATATCATCTCTAAGGAGCAATTTAAATAAAGATTTTGATGATTGAACTGATCATTCAAGTCTAAAATGCCAAAGATTCTCTGGTTCCCGCCATCTAAACTGTGAAGATTAGGTAGAGCTACTGGATCAGCTAAACAGCTGTTGGTCAAGGCAAAACAATCAATTTGAACGAGGACTTAAAGGAACCGTGAGGGGCAACAAACATCAGATCAATCGTTAGCTGCTGACTGTCAGTGAATGTGATGTTGACCACATCTGTTCAGTTCCATCTCACTGTGTCTGGATGTAAGACACTTGTTGTTTGCCATTCTGCCTTCTCCCTCCTTCAACGGACTTTAGTGTGCAATGTTCCTCGGGTTACTTCTGAGACAACAGCCCAGCAGTGACGAGCCCAGGTCTTTAATATAGATCAATCCTGTATTCCTGAGAAATGAACTCCATCCCCATTATTCTAAGATGCACGGTCAGGAGGCTGTTGTTCAACTGTGTGTACTCATAGACTTGTCCTCAATCTGCCAGCTTTCAGGGCCAAATTATTCAGCATAAGCATAGTCATTCTCGGGAAAAATGATGGAAAGTCCCATTTCTCCTTGATATGTAGACTCATGAATGTGGAATTTTAGAAAAAAGCGATTCAAGCTTGGATCATAAGCTCGAGGCCAATGGAGGCGAGGCAGCTTTCAGCGTGCAGGCTGTGGCAGGCAAGTGAGATCTGTAGGCATTTACTAGAGAGAACGTGTGTGTGTGTGTGTGTGTGTGTGTGCGTGTGCAGATCAGACTGTTGTAGTGCTCCCAAGAGAGTTGAGATTGATGAGACACACTGCCGATAGACAGAGTACTCTCTTCTCTTACACACACACACACACACACACACACACACACACACACACATTACACCGCCTTAGAGGACCACACCTGCTCTTGTATCCATCCCGTAATGGATTAGAGCAAATAACTTTTATTTTATTGTGGACGATAAGGACAAGCTTAGGGTGAGAGTGTTTCATAACTGGGGCCGCCCGACTGAGTGAGGGACATGGAATGTGTTCCAGCCTAAAGAGGACTGACCTGTATATGGAGATGTTTTCTATCAGCTGGTTGGAGGCGCTGTCGTAAAGGATGATTCCTCGCGGGGAGACCGTTAACGTGACTTTCTGGAGTTTTTTCCCACTGGCTTTAGCCTGGAAGGAAGAGGAGGAGGAGAAAGAAAGGGTGGAGGCCACAAAGAGACAAGAGGGTATGTGAGTGAGACAGAGATAAGAAAGGAAAACCAGTGTGTCAATCAAACAAGTGTGTTTTTGTGCGTTTTTTTTATTAAATCAGACCAGCCAATCCAGACTGTAGCTCAAAAGTAAATATAAAAACATTACTCCACACCGAGTGCATCTATGACGTAGTATGATCCCAGACAGCAGCCTAACATCCTTTTTAAGAGGGACACCGAGGGCAGCCAACAGATTAGGCCCAATCAGAGCCTCGGCCTTCCTCTCCACACATCACCGCGTCTCGAGTCCCACCATTCTGCCGCCGCTAACTTCATTATCCACTGAGCTGCCAGATCCAATAACATGAAGCCATTTTCTGCCATGATAAAGCTGGCCGAGCCATGTACGGAGCAACAGTGTCTAAACTAATTTCATCCTCTTCTAAAATGTCAGCCCGCACCTCGGGGTGGAAAGAAGGCAGCCAACCGGTCACTTTTCACCGAGGGCGTCATTCAGGTCACAAACGGGAGAAAACTACTGGATGACTGAGTGGTGGAGGAGGTGGTGATGTGGGGAAAGATATATGTGCTTGAGCAAAACTCATTTTCTGGGAGTAGTTTTCTGATTAGCAGTGCTTTGACAAGAGATTTTAGATGCTATTCCAGTTATACGTGTGTGTGTGTGTGTGTCTCACCGTGGCCACTATCCTCTTGACAGCAGCCGCAGACAGCTCCTCTCCTTTGGGCTGCTCCACCATGGTGACCCCCAGGTACTTGAGCTGGAACACCATGCCCTCCAGGAGGGTCTCCCTCGTGTCCGTCCAGTTCTCTGGAAGCTCTGCGGATGAGAAACGCAGCATCGGTGACGCTTCTGCTCATCAGCGACAAACCCCCGCTGCTTGTTCTTGTACAGTGGGCTGAGAGACACTCTGTCAGCCATGCGTCACGTCGTCTCAGCTGTATCAGACACAACAGCAGCCGAACCGAGTCCTCATTATGGGTGTGTGTGTGTGTGTGTGCGCAGCACATGCTTTTAGCTATTCCTCTTGGCAGGCTAGCAACAGCATGCACTCTAATGGAATGTTTACTCCACTGGCTGAAAGTTAATTACAAAATATGTTTAGTATGCTGTTCGTTAACATGGTGATCTGAGTTGTAGTACTGATAAACTGGACGGCATGGTAGAGTTTGCTATTATGTATGAAAATATTAAATAACTGACAATAAAGCCTTTAGATTGTTTTGTTTGGTTCATGATGTAAAAAGGGAGCAGGGTTTATGTCAAGGTTAGAAATTAGCAGCATCCACCAGCCAAAATGTAAAAAAAATAAATAAATAAATAAATAAAATTTAAAACTTTTTTAAAAAATTTAAATAAAAAAAAACTATAACCGTGGTCTGTTATTTCCACATAATTATGAATCCCACTGCTTTTTTTGGAAAGACCCGCTCTCTGTAGCTGGTTGAGGCAGAGGCAATTGCTCGAGGTTAGACATTGACCTCGAGTAGTTTGGGGACAGGACAGCTCAGAGCGCAGGGCGGGTCTTACCAAGAAGAGCTGGGGGCTTCATAGTGAGTTATTTCTTGATGCCATCTTTGTTTGAATTTGGCAACAGACTTGCAATGAGGTAAAAAAAAAAAAAGAAAAAAAAAAAAAAAAAGAAAAAAAAAAGGATTTTAAATATTTTGTTAAATCGGGCAGCAAACTAAACATCTGTTATCCAAATGAGTCTTTAAGGACTCTGGACATTATTACACAACACTTGTTGCAGCTGCTTCACAACTAAAGTATTCAAGGGAATTATTGTGAAGCAGGGAGGGAGTGTTGAGCTATAGTCATCGCTGGTACATTACTGTAGTTTAGGTTTGCGAGGTGAATGTTTTTCACAGCTTTACACAGCTGACCTGGTTAGCTGAAGGGGTGCAGGTGCTTTTTTTTTGCAATTCAACTCAAAACAACTACAGACTTTTCAATCACCACACAAAATGTAGCAGAAAAACAATCAGAACTTCTGTGGTGCTATTTGGAACAAACACGTCTTCATGGTTTTAAACTCGGTGACAAATACAGGTTGAAGAGATACAACCACTCCCTCACGACTGTCTGCCAGAACTCATTTACAATCCAAACCACTGCCAGCGAAGTCATTCATAAAAGATCATCTCCTCCAGCCCACGAGACGATGACACTTATTCAGGACTCAGTATTCTAAATTTTGTCTTGAGAATGAAACTCCGGGGCTGTGGTTTTTGATTTCTTTTATCAGAGGAAAATCGCTTGGCGAGCTGCTCGAGGCGCTGTGCGTCTCTTCATATGATATCAGTATGGAGACAGCCGGGGGGGGGTGTCCCCAGAGATGGAGCAGTGAAAGAGAAAAAAGGAGAACAACTTGTGTGAACCGGCCTTCTTCCATATGACGCCAAATCATAAAGACCCGTGTTATGATTCCGCTGACAGTCTGCAATAGATCTGCAACAATCAGCTGCTTTCAAATCGGTGGAGTGGGGGGGGGGGAATTTTTCAGAGTGAAAGTTCAGGCAAGTAGGCAACAAAACACCTCTTCAGTATTCAGCCATTTGCTCCGACAATAAAGCCGCTAACTTCTCCTCACTCAGCTCATAACAGGTTTATGGACTTGCCACGATGAGGTGTGTGATAGTGAGTAGAGGGATCCATTGGTCTCCTCTAGAAGGATCAGAAAACACAGTAGACATGTGCTTTGTTGGAATAGTTCAATGAATAGAAAATTGTTATGATGGCTTAATAATTTAAGTAGTATTTTTAAGCAAAAAAGCCCCATATAATATGACTGGTTCCAGCTTCTCGAGTGTTAATATTTGCTGCTTTTCTTCGTCTTACGTGATAGTAAAGAAACTAAATATTGTGGGGTTTGAACTTATTGGACACTGAGAAATTGTGTTGGACATTTTTGTCTATTTTCTGAAAATTCATAGACTAAATAAAAGATCGGCAGATGAATTGATAATGAAAAGTGTATTTGACCTGCAAACATTATATTGCTTTTAATGATGGATTATTGTTGATTAGCATTTCCAGTCCACAATGTTTAAAAAAACTGTAGCAAAAAAAATAAAAAATAAATAAAAAAAATAAATAGTACAACAAAAGGCTTCAAGACGTTACAACCACACACGACTATCCATCAGCTTGACATCCAGTAGTCAGCCCAGTAAGTGAACTATTTTTAAAGTTATTTAACTTCATTTATACTTTGTGAACACCATCACTCGGCTGAGGAGCCCATATCGTTCAGGGAACCACTTGGAAACTGTGAGGTTAACCTAGAATATTCCAAACCAAGCCAACGGTGAGTGGTTGTGGAGAAGGGCTTATCATCGTCTAAATGCAGCTCTAACCAAACCCATACTTAAGTAATGGGCGAGTCTGAAGTGAACACCCGCTCTGGGTTCAAGGTCTTTGAGCTCCTAAGTGTGGGCAACACATCAGGCTGACGTCCTGTGCTGACCCCGTGGTTGCATTAGTGCCTGGGTAAGTAGCACCCTCGCTGTAATATAACCTGCGGCGAGGAATCATTAGCTCCCATTCACGGCCTAAATCAAGTCACCGAGCGGTCTACGAGTGCTGTCCGCAAAAGTCCTAAGTGTGGCCACTTAGGACTTTTGTGGACAGCTATGCAAATATGATGGGGGGGATGATGCCGGCTCAACCTCGGTTCACATTTGGAACCTTTAGTGCGAGCTCCTGTTTCTAAAAGCCGACTTGACTCCAGAAGGTTTTTCGGTGTTTACTAAAATCAACACTGCCAACAGGTCCGCTTCACTGGGTTTCAACAACATTAAAGAAGCGCTTTGAAAACGCTCCGATCGACTCGAGGCTTAGGAGAGACGTCTTTCACATAACACACTCGTGCTGGTCCAGCGGAGGTATCAGAAGCAAGCCTCTGTGCCTCCACCGCCCATACTAATGCTCGCAGGAGGCAAGTCTCTGGGGAGGACCAGCAGCTCCCCCTGACTGCAGAGTCCTAGGAATCCCCCATCGCGAGACATCCTGAGGAGGCTACTGTAAGACCAGACAACGCAAATGATGGGATTTCTGCCTGAAATACACGAGGAGATGACGATTATGCAAAGAAAAAGATGTTACCGAGCAATGAAACAACAGCTTTCTTTAAAAAACAGTTCAAATGAGCAACTCATGAACCAGAGCTATTTTTAAACCCGGTGCATATACCCACAGTGCTGCTTTGTATGGAATAATAATCCAGTTTCATATTGGTCACATTTGCATTCACATAACCATTCGACCCCCCCCCCTCCTCCTCCTCCTCCTCCCCCTCCCCCTCCCCTCCACGGCAGCTCTCTGCAGCTGCGGTGCTGATTAGAGCAAACTTCAAAAGGCTTCTGGGCTACACTGAGCTGTGGCTGGTCAGAGAGCGCTGCTCGCCCGGATGACACTGCCTGTAAATAAACTGGAGAGAGCCGGGGGAGGGAGCACTGAGGTTTGCAGAGTGGGAGGGGATGGGGGGGGGGGGGGGACTGCTTCCAAGTGTGAGGGGTTTGTTTAGCCAATTATCTTCAAAGTATAACGTGGATAATGAACTGGTGGGGGTCATTGGGTCTTGTTCTGGTCTTCACGGGGCCACGTGGCTACACACAGAGCCTCTGGAAGCTCACTCCCTCTAAAACACACAAACCCACTACATAAATATCGACCACGCCACAACAGACCAGAGAAATATGGAAGGAGACTCAGTGCACAGAAACAAATAGTGACGATGTGATGGGGGATTAAAAAAAAAGAAGAAGAATTCACCACTCCCAGCATCTGTCAACCTTGGATTAAGTCCCAGATGACACTAATCGCATCAGTTGGGGAAACTGGTCTAAATAAAGACTTTCTTACATAAAAGCCCCCCAGACAGAACTTAACAATTGCCTTTGCTCTGTTGTTGGGCTTTAGTGTGTAAAAACACACTTGGGCCTTAAAGAAAACCCTGAAACACACCTCATATACAGGTTGTTCAGGGAGGCTTCAGGATATCAAATATTCATGAACATGTATGATATTGAGGTTTACCGAGCCTCATCAAGGATGCTTTGAAGGCCGACTTGCCTTCAAAGAAAGACACTGGGAGAGTCGTGTTTCATGTTAACTACTAAACATAAGACATTATATCTCTGTCCAGGAAAATAAGTCTCAAAAAGGTAGTTTTCTTCCTTTGGGTTTATGAAATGTTTGTGTTTTGGCTAGCTAGTTTTAATTGTCCACAATTTTGTAATGCGATAACAGTTAGTGTAGCAGCGTGCCGTCCTCAAAACCCGACACAAAAGAACCATAGGCAGCGTAATCAGCCTGTAGTCACACAGCCAGTGTGACGTCCACTCTGCCAGTCAGATTGAAACCTGTTTACATCCTCTCAGCGCTCGGCTAGGAGAAGACGAGCGGAACAAAAAGTATGTGCAGCTACTTCCTCGCTCTGCCGGTCACCTCTCCTGAACTAGTGAAAGTCTACAAACCTTTAGAATATCTATATCACAAAGTCAACAAAGCAGACAGGTTAAATAAAACACCAACAGAAGAGGTCTAGCTCAGATGTTGCAATAAGAGCGAGGTCATTAAAGCGATCAAGTCTCTTTGCAAATAATGTGTCTGCTGGCACAATGGGTTTAACACATTTCAAGTTCCTAAAAATCGGTGGTATTTAAATTGTATTACCACTTCAAGGACTGTAGTATGCACGTCAATACAAAAACTAATTCTCAAAAACTAAAAAGGTACTGGAAGAACGCAGAGCTCCGCAAAAGGCCAAGTCCATGCCTCATCTCGCAGTGAAACCAAAAGAAAAATAACTATTT